CAGGTGGGTGGGGGGGGGGTGGGAGATGAGGTGATTATCAGCTCAGTTGTATGTTGGACCTGAACTCAGTGACCCAAGTTGGTACTCAGCACTCCCCCAACACTTCCACTAGGGGGCAGTGCAGAATCAAAACGCCCTCTGCTCGCGAGGGTCTGGATTCTCTGAGATACAGTCTGGGGTGACCAAGTGAAATTTTCTTTGAGAATTGGGGTTTTATCTTAAAAATGATTGTGGATATTGCTTTCTCCTGCATAACATGTCTACATTTAATATAGAGGTAATTTGAAAAACTTTTCACCAATAAGAAAATTTAACACTCTAAGAATATCGGCCCTGTTTGATTTGCCAGTCGCTCTATCACAGACCTGGGGGTGTGGCATCAGAGTTGGAGAAAACGCATGTGTAGGAACACCCCAACCCTGACCCGTAATCAGCTTGACCCAGCCAGGTGACATCGTGCTAATGTGCCTTCTTCCCAACCAGAAGGCTTCCATCTTCTACTCAACCATTGACTCAGCTTCCTCTCTAACCCCCTGTCCTTGCCTGCCTCCCTAGTGCTCAGATGGTCCCTAATCCAAGAGCACCTCCACAGCTCCTCTTCCATCCTAACCCCACCACCCACTGAATCCCACCGTAATCTTCTTCTGCTTTCCACCCAATCATCTTTCCTTCCTCAAAACTGTGAAGGCATGTTCGTCCAAACCACTGCCTTATATGTTGCTCTGCTCATGTCCTAGACATACAACTTGTCCCCCAAACTAGACTCCACGCCTCTCAATGGCAGCGGCCTTGCTTTTCACTTTGTTCTTTTTATCCTGGCAGGATAAACAGTAAATGGACCATTAGTTCTTTTCCTGTACAACATAGTAATTAATCTAACTCAGCTTCTGGCTCTACGTGAGGCCCCTCACCTTCTAGTCTTTTCATTCCCACCAGTTACCTTCTCTCCCCCGTCTCCTGACTCCTTAGGTCAGAAAATATTGGGAAATATTTTACAGACTTGTTAATGGGAACGTGCACGGAGAGGCTCAGGACCGCTTCCTGAGATCCCAGGTTCTCCGAGGTCCCTAATTTCACTTTTAACCATCTGCCCGTTTCCTTCACAAGCTTCGTCACAGTTTGTTAGGTGTTTGTGTGTTATGCATGGTATTGTGTGACTTGCTTGCCTGCTTCGCTCACTAGACTGTAAGCTGAGGGCAAGGAAGGACCGTGTAGCTGACCCCTCTCCCCCGCCCCCATGGTAGGTGCTTAATGCTCCTGTTGAACGAATATTTCAGCGGGTCTTTGCATTCTTGAGTCTCCTATTTAAATAAAACCAACTCTCCTGCTCTTTCAGACGACACAAGATATACAGAGAGCAGCTGAACCTCACTTCTCTGGACCCCCCAGTGCAGCTCCGACTTGAGGCCAGCTGGCTCCAGTTCCACCTGGGAATCAACCGCCACGGGCTGTACTCCCGGTCCAGTCCTGTCGTCAGCAAACTGCTCCGCGACATGAGGCACTTTCCCACCATCAGTGCTGGTGAGGCCCAGGATCAGGCAGGGACTGAGTGTCCCCAGAGGCTGGTAAACCAGCCAGGCTCTGGGGTGGAAAGCAAAGGGTTGTCTCTGACTCCTGATGGGCAGAAAACAACACACACACACACACACACACACCCTCCTCACAGCCCCACAGGGGAGGCATGAGGAGGTGTTCCATCCACTTTAAGAAACGTGATGGCTCCCCTTTAGCGAGTGCTCCCTTTCCGCCTGGCAACCCTCTCTTATCAGTGACCTTATGGCGTGGACCCCTCACTGCCATTTTGCTGATGGGAGAACTGAGACTCAGAGAGGATGCACAACTCGGCCAGGGACCAGGGCTGGAGCGGGGGTTCCGACAGGCCTGCTGTCAGGTCTGTGCGGCCAGGCACGACGTGTCTACGTGACAGAGCGGGTGGTTAGCAGAGACAAAACCAGCACCGGTTTCCCAACAGGTGCTAGGCCTGCCGATGGAAGGGCCAGCGAGCACGGGGCTGGGTGGAGCAGGGCGCGGCTACAGCCAACTGGGGCTCCGGGAGATGCCCCTGGCTGCCTCAGCGTCCCCTTTAGTGAGTGAGTCCAGAGCCCCGTGTTGTTGGCGCCCCTACACATGGCTGAACGTTCTTCCTGCCCTTCTCCTCCACAGATTACAGTCAGGACGAGAAAGCCTTGCTTGGGGCGTGTGACTGCACCCAGAGTAAGTGAGCTGGCCCTGCCGCCCTCCACGTCACAGCCGTGTGAACCCTGGAACCCCTGTGGGGTCCTGGTTGGGACTCGAAGGGGCGGGACTCTGCCTAGGCCTTGAGAAGCCAGCATTTCTCCCCGCCCACCCACATGACGGAAAAACCCTTTAAGAGGGGCTGGTGTGTAGGTCCCTGCTGGTCAGTGCGTGATCTGGGGACCAGCTTCATCGGGATTGGAGTGCCTTTCAGATTTAAGAGGCAATTGTGCAGGACAGTGGTCCTCAACCCCAGGAACTTATTAGAGTCCCCTGGGAGCTCCACACAGGCAGAGGCCCGGGCATCAGCATTTTAAAACCGTTCCTAGTGATTCTAATGCAGCCAAGGCTGAGACCCCCTCACCGATGAATAGGATCTGAGAGAGAGGCGTGAGATGCAGCACAGGCCTCTCCCAGGGGGTCATGAATTGGGTATAGATGTACCTGGACCCTGCACAGCCCTCAGAGTGGCCAGGCCAGGCCTGGACACCGAAGCCCCAGAGCAGTCACCGGCCAAGAGCAGCCTCATCCATTTACCTCAATATACCGAACACACATCAGACATTTCCATGTGTGTCGTGATGTGTTAAAGGTTTGAAAGACAGAGGTTTGTGGGGCCCAGAACTTCCCTTTAACACCTGCCATTTGCCATATTATAGAGCATAGACAGCGTCCACACCCTACCAGGGCTCACGCAGGGTAGGGACAGGGTGGGGTGAGGGCTGGGCCCAGCACTGGACACGAGGAGGGAGCTCTCACTGGCAGGGTCGTGTGAGCGCATCTTAGGTGCCTTGCTCACCCAGCCCTGTCTCAGCCCCGTTTGGTCTTGACATGGAAGATACGTAGATAAACTAGTCCACCAATGCAGGTTAGCAGATGGCATCATCAGAATCTAAAAGGTGCCAATGGAGCAGAGTCAGTGGCAGTTCTTAGGGAAACGTTCTTTGGGGTCTGCTGTGTCTGTTGGGGAAACCTATATTGTTTGCCCTTTTCCCATAACAGCAGAGAAGGTATTGTCTTGAGCTGCTGGCACCCTCTCCATGGCCTGATGCGATAGAATGTACCCTGCAGGCTTTACAAAGCAAATTCTGGTCCTTAGAGAAGAAATCAGTTGGGTTTATTGAATGAACAAAGGTCCCAGCCCTGAGCTTCGTCCCAGAAGCATGGTTAACTCACCCTTGTCCCCTCACAGTTGTGAAGCCCAGTGGGGTCCACCTCAAGCTGGTTCTGAGGTTCTCGGACTTCGGGAAGGCCATGTTCAAACCCATGAGGTAAGTGATGCCTTCCTCACCTCCATACCCAGCCTTGGCAGCTCTGCGGGGTGTTGACCTAAAATTAGTAAAAGTGGCCTAAGGTCTTCAAGCCAGTCATCTGTAGACTGACCTTTGGGCAATCTGCCCACGCACTGAACTGTTTTTGGTGATACTTTAAAAAGAGCTAGACCTTATCAGGTCGTTGCTAGCATCTGCACTACACACATTTCATGATTGTCTTTGGGTCATCAATAACCTTATGAGCCAGGAACTGTTCAAGTGCCCACTTTACAGATGACAACACTGAGGCTTGGAGAAGCCAGCTCACCCCAACCTCCCAGCTGCAGAAAGTGGAGCCAGGATTCAAACCCGGGCAGCTGGATTGTTAACACTCTACCACTGTCATTCATACCCACTTGTTTCCAGGGCTAGGACTCTCAAAAACGGTTATAGAACTCCACACAATACTTGTTCTGACTGAAAAACTAGGCCATGAAAAAGGCTACTGTGAAGTCAGTATATTCTTAATTTCACTTCATTTACACGGCAAATACCTGCCTTTAAGATTTTGCAGAATGTGGGTGAGAAACTACGTATCCAGTCTACAGAGCTTGGTGTACCTATAGATTCCTGGTCCCCGGGGTCTGCAGCCCACAGGCTGGGACTCCTCAAGTTTATGTCCCCCCCGGAGGTGACATGCACAGGAGACAGTGGCCCCAGGAGGGAACCCAAGTAGAGGGATTTAGGTTCCAAATGTCCAGTCAATTGAGAGGCCCATGGAGTGAATGGCTCAGCAGATGAGCCTGGGGCAGGGCCTCGTGGAAGGAGCATTGACTATAGAATCTTAGTTCTAGTCCCTGCACTGCTTTGACAAAAGCACCCTTGAAGGAGGGGTTTGTAATAGACCGGCTCCTGGGAATCTCTTGGGGAGCCTTGAAACATCAGGCATCTGAGGGTGCCTGAGTCCCACCCTCAGAGTCCAATGGGATGGTTTCAGGGCTCCCCGGGGACCCCAAGGCCCAGAGAACCTGAGAACCGCGCTAAGGCAATCCCTATGCCTATGAGTACACGAAAAGCAAAAGGCCTTTTTCCGTTCCCTGTGGTCATGCTTATCAGCTGTCTCCGGCTCCCCGCTGGCTCCCCGCTGCAGTCTGCGTCCAGGGCATGATTCCTCCCTTCTTTTCAGACAGCAGCGAGAGGAAGAGACGCCCGCCGACTTCTTCTACTTCATTGACTTCCAGAGACACAATGCCGAGATTGCAGCTTTCCACCTGGACAGGTAGGGTCTGGCCCTGCGGAGCTGGCATTGATGGCAGCGGCCAAGCTCAAGAAGGGGCGCTGGACAGATGCGCAGGGGGGACCTCCCTGGAATGTCTTCCTTCCATGATGCCTTTGGACCCAGCACGTCCCACCCAGCCCCCGGGGTTGAAAAACACAAAGATGGTGCAGATAACAGAAATAACTACTTAGAAAACTAACCCTGCCAGGCGGTCACGCGGCCATCTTGGGCATGACGTTGCCCTTTGCTCTAATTTCCAGATCTGAAAATGAGAATACACCACCCCCATTTATCCAGGCAGCCTGAGGTAGTGATTTTAAGAGGTGAAAACAAGTTCCTGAACTCCCGGCTCCTATTTGCCCAGTCCCTGTGACTCACGCACCAGGAGCTTTTCAGAAATTCAGAATCTCAGCCTGGACCACTGAATCAGAGCCTTCACAGGGACAAGATCCCAGGCGACTCATACGCACGTGGACATAGGAGCTCTGACCTAGAACACAGCTTGGATCGGGGAGGGTTAGCCCAGGAGCCTTGATGGAATGAGGGTCCCTCTTCCGCCCCTTCTCCCACCCCTTGTGAAGTAGGGTTGCCCTGGGCACCGTCAGCTCAGCACTGCAGAGACCCCCGCAGCTGGGTGTGGTCGGGAATGCCAGTCCACTTCTAACGGGCGACCATCTGACTCCCCAACCATCGCTCCAATCTGAACAGGGCTCCCTCCCCTCTTTCAGGATCCTGGACTTCCGACGGGTGCCACCAACAGTGGGGAGGCTAGTCAATGTCACCAAGGAAATCCTAGAGGTCACCAAGAATGAAATCCTGCAGAGCGTTTTCTTTGTCTCTCCAGGTAGAGTCCTGGCCAAAGCCATCTTCTAAGGACACGGTAGGCCAGCGTGGCCACCAGTACGTTCAGCAGTGGCCTGTCCAGCCAGTAGCCTTCGCCATTACTGGGATGGGTGTATGCCGCCATCCCACACTCCCACCTTGGTCTGCCCGAGCTTCACAAGAGGAACTGGGGGTGGGAAAAGGTCATACCTGAGATGCTAACTAGCCTGGGCGGGCACCCAACTACAGTGCGGCCTCCCTGGAATCAGGAGTTATCCAGACAAAGAACACTCTACTCCTGTGGACAGGATGCACGGTTTACTATCACCCACCATCTGGAAAAGGCAGTATTCCTCCTGCCCCCTTCCCCCCAGCTATGAGTTCAGGGGTTCCCTTTCCTCCCATGGATCTCTGGGGACAGGAAGATGGTCTGCCTCCCTAACACTTCTCTTACTCCTCCTCTCCCCATCCTCCAGCCAGTAACATGTGCTTCTTCGCCAAGTGTCCATACATGTGCAAGACCGAGTACGCTGTCTGTGGCAACCCCCACCTGCTAGAGGGCTCTCTCTCTGCGTTCCTGCCGTCCCTCAACCTGGCTCCCAGGCTGTCTGTGCCCAACCCCTGGATCCGCTCCTACTCGCTGGCCGGAAAAGAGGAGTGAGTTGGGCCCCTGGCCATGCACATTAGCCCCTGAGAGTGACCACAGTCCTACAGGAAGGACTTACGGTTAGCCTGGCTTTTGGACCCCTAAAGGCTACCTCAGCCTTCCTCTGTCTCACCTCATATAGATCCTGGGACCAGCTGGCCCGAGTCCATTCTCTCCCCTTAGTTCATTTATTCAGTTATAAAGAGACTACTGTCTACCCAACTTTAGGCGCTAGGGGATACGGGAATGAAAGACACAGGCTCCCCCTCAAGAAGCTCCGCTGTCGAGCTGGGAGGTTATAGAAATAGCCAGATTCTGAAAAAACAGTGCAACACCCGCTGTACACAGAGAAGCACACGAGGAGCCCGCATGAGAGACGCCTGGTCTGCCTGCGTAAGCCCGTGAAGCCAAGGACCCATCGTGTACCCCTGGGACTTAGCACATGCCCTAGCACATAGTAGGCACTCAGTTCATATTAGCGGACTGAATGAACAGGGGCTGAGGAATGTCTGAGAGGAGCTGCAGAAGCAGCAGGGAGGGCGTGGAGCCAGGCGTTCCCCTGCTGCCCGCCGTCTCCCCCTGGCACACGGTGCCCTAGCCATCAGTACGGCGCCCAGCACAGCACATGCTCAGGAGACATGTCCTAAAAGGACCCAGAACCTTCTCACCACATGGAATCTGCGCCTCCCATGTCTTTGCTTAGCGCCCGCCCGAATGTACCCAGCTACCAAGTGTGTATACAGGATTAGGGAGGCAGGGGTTTGAGGGGTGGGGAGGTGTGAGGAGGGCCCCCAACACCTTGCCATCTTGGCTTTTCCAGCCCCAGGACTGGTTCTCCCCCTCAGGTGGGAGGTCAATCCTCTGTACTGCGACACAGTGAAGCAGATCTACCCGTACAACAGCAGTGACCGGTTGCTCAACATTATCGACATGGCCATCTTCGACTTCCTGATCGGTAGGTACCCCCGCCCCCCGCCCCGGGGCTCCTGGCACAGGGCTCTGCTGCTGGTCTGGGATTGTCCCCGACGTTGGGCACCAGTTACAGCCTGGACCACGAAGCCTGAATAACCCCACACCGCTCAGGGCCTCAGTAGTTAGAACGTTCCCCTCCTCAAAGGGGGTGCCACTCCAAAGGCAGGGTTATCAGCCTACAAGCCAGGCCCAAGCGGGCCTCAGGTTTGAAGTCATTGACCCCTTTGACCAAGGGAGGCGAAACCAGGGAGGAAAGGAGGAGGGTGCACACTGAACAGGTAGCAGGGGGAAGGCCTGGGTCTCCCACCTGGAATGGTTAGGAAGAGTTGTTATGAAGGCGGCCAGTACACACACACACACAGACCTGAAGGCCTACAGCACCCGCCCAGCTCACTCACACCCTTGGGGAAGTCAGCCTGTGTCTGCTTTCCCAATGGGCCTCCGTTGAGGAGCTCAGGTGAGGAAGGAAAGCCAACATGGGTGCAGAGTATTCGAGTCCCAGGCCCAAGGGCTTGCAGAAAAACAGTGAAAGCCTTAGATTTGCCAAGTGCACACTAGGGTGTGTTGGCTTGTTTAGTTTCCTTCTCCCTCGGCAACGTCCCTAATCACTGGGGGGGGGGGGGGGGGGGGAATGACAGCTGTGGCCCTGGATTCAGGCTCTTGTCTGAACTGCCCTCCGAATCCTCAGCCTATGGTCCCTCGCTCCAATGCCTCTCTCCTTTACAGGAAATATGGATCGTCACCATTATGAGATGTTCACCAAATTTGGGGATGATGGGTTCCTTATTCACCTGGACAATGCCAGAGGGTAAGTGTCACCCATTCCTCCCGCCCAGCCGCAGCCCTTGCAGCTGCTGAGGGGCTCTGCAGTCGCCTTGCTTCTCCTCTACCCTGAGAGCGCTAGCGAAACAGATGGGAGCTTTGCATAGGGTTTTACTCGAGGGCTCACTCCCGGAGGCAGAGCACGTGGCTCATGCTCCATGTCTGGCCCTCAGTAGTTGGTGAATAGATGAATGACTGCTGAGGTTTAACATTTTTGGACATCTGGACAAAGGCTTTGTGAGCTGATTGAGGACAGGGGCTGGAGGGGCAGCTGCATGAGCCCTGGCACTTTACCCTAAGCTGTGCTTTCAAAAGAAAGGCTGAGGCAGAGGAGAGAGAAAAAACAGTGAGGAGGGAGGGCTGCTTGCCACTCACGAAATCCTGGTTCTCCTCCTAGGTTTGGGCGACACTCCCATGACGAAATCTCCATCCTCTCGCCTCTCTCCCAGTGCTGCAGGTGAGCTTTCAGTTCAAGGGCACCATTGCGGCACAATCCTGCTCGCAACAGCGTTCTGAGGCTCTTCCTGTTTCCATTGGTCTGGACATGGGTGGGTGGAATGACAGGAATTACCAATATCTCCAAAGCTTTCATCTTTCAGCATGGGATGAATTAGGACCTTTTTTTTTTTTTTAAACCTTTCACTCACTAACTTTAATATTCAGCCCACTTTGGCAGAGCCTGTCTTTGATCTGAGTAATCAGACCTCTGCTTTGCCTAGCACTCATAGCTCATAAATATTACTACTTGACCACCATCTGAGTAAAATGCTGTCAGATGGAAAGGAAGCATAACCTTCGCCTGGCCACCGTTTCTCTGGAGCATCTCCAACTACTTCTGGTCCTGGTCTCAGTAAGCTTGTGAAGTGTCCAGCCGCTCAGCTGCAGTTAGAGCTCATTAGAACTATGGGACTCGCACACAGCAAAACCATCTCATTCCTTTCCAGCTGAAAAACGCAGAAGGAAGCCGGAATTTTCTTTATAGGTTTAGATGTGCTCCCCTCCCTGCCTCCCTTCCTGAATTGGGCAAGCAGTTTATGACAAAAGTTGGACAATCAGGCTGCATATGAGTCCAAGTCAGATTTCCACATGAAAAGAAATCAGAATCCTAAAGTCAAGGTCAGTTCCACCTACCCCATTTTCACCCCTCGGATTCAAGAATCTCACACCAAGAAGTAAACTTGCCAAGAAACAACTTGGAGGCCGGCAGTACCTAGAGCTCCTGAGATGCCCAACTTCACCATTTCACGACTAGAAACCTCTCGCAGCTTTAAATCGCTTCTGATTCTCTTAGCAACGTTAGATGTGTACGGTCCAGCATCGCATTACAATTATTATAGTATAAACAGCTCAGCAGGCCTTTGACCAAAAGGCAATTGGGAAAGGGCTGCGAAATATTGGGTCATCTTTTATTCACTCCCTTTTTACCCGATTTTCACTTAAATGTGCTTGAAAAGATATCGGGGGAGAGGCTCAGAACATCAACAACTACAACAGTTTTTTTTGTGGGGAAAGTCAGTTCAGGATGAGTTCTTTTCACTTACGTTTCCTATGACTCTGTCCTTCCAGGATAAAAAAGAAAACACTCTTGCACCTGCAGCTGCTGGCCCAAGCTGACTACAGGCTCAGTGACGTGATGCGGGAGTCACTGCTGGAGGACCAGCTCAGCCCCATCCTCACAGAGCCCCACCTCCTCGCCCTGGACCGGAGGCTCCAGGTCATCCTAAGGACCGTGGAGGGGTGCATAGCGGCCCACGGAGAGCAGAGTGTCGTAGTCAGTGGCCCAGCAGAACAGGCAGCCCCAGACTCTGGCCAGGCTAACCTGACAAGGTAGGGGCTGGACGAGCCCAACTGCAGAAACGACACCTGCAGCCACGGTGGACTCGAGTGCGGACCTCTGCGTCCTCACGTGCCCTGGCCCAAGCTGGAGGCCCTGGGTTGTGAGCTCAGGGAGCAGGTAGGGCATTGGGACGGTCCTCAAAGAGCCAAAGTGGGACCCTGGCCTGCCTTCCTGGTGCACCGTTTCTTGAGTGGACTGACTGCCCTGGCTCCGCAGACCACCTCCTGAGCCCACTGGGAAATCTGGATAAATCCAAGGTCAGACTTGAAGGGTATGGAAGCCTTAATCCCAGAAGAGAGTATTAATTGTTACAAATAAAAGGACATCAAGTGGATACCTAACTGACCTCCAGATCCTTATTGTATCTACGAGGGTAACTCCTAATCCAGACAAAACATCTGACTTATCACAAGCAAACAAAAAATCTGTAACTCTCACATAGGTTCCAAGTAGACCTCACACTTTCTCCTTATATTCCAGTCACTGTGGCTCAACCCGAGGACGAGAATCACTACTGTCCGGTCCTCGAAAGTAATTTCTATGAAATGGCATTACAAGAGGTAAAAATAACAGGGATTTGCTCAGAATACTAGGAAAGGGATGTTTCAATCTAAAGACTACTTAAATATCAACTGAAATAACACAAGTATGACAAACTAGCATCCAACACAGGAGGGATTTTAGTGAAGGGACACGGGTGGTCTTGAAGGCGGGACAGCATAGGAGTGGCCCAGCCGGTTCACGAGCTGGACTGAGGCTGGAGAAAGCCAGGGCCTAGCACAGCTCACCAACCAGTCTTTCCCAAGATCCAGGAGCTGTCCCCCGCCTGCCCCCAAGAGCAGCAGGGGCCACTGGAGAGCTCTGGCATGCTAGATACCTTTCTCAGCTACTTTCTCAAAAAGGAGTCAATCTAAAGTTTATTTCCCAAACCTCCCCCAAAAGTAGGTATTTTGAGGATTCCCTGTCTCTTCTACCTTCTCCCTCCTGAATTGCTGACGCCTTAAACACCTGTATTAAGAGGCTGTTTCTGCCGTAACCGGTTTGGCTCAGTGGATAGAGCGTCGGCCTGCGGACTGAAAGGTCCTGAGTTCGATTTCGGTCAAGGGCATGTACCTTGGTTGCGGGCACATCTCCAGTAGGGAATGTGCAGGAGGCAGCTGATCGATGTTTCTCTCTCATCGATGTTTCTCTCTATCCCTCTCCCTTCCTCTCTGTAAAAAATCAATAAAATATATTTTAAAAAAAGAGGCTGTTTCTTAGTCCCATAATTCATGACTGAAAACACAAATGAGAGGAAAGTATTCATACTATAGAGTAGCCAGTCAGTCAACAAGTAAAAACTCCTGGTTCTATCAGGTCAACTCACAGATAAACATTGGAAGAGCTCAAATACAGTACAAGTGTGTGTGTGGGGGGGTGTGGGTAGAAAAAAGTTACTAAAGGTACAAGGTCAAGCAAGACTAAAAAAGTCATCCAAGACTTCTGCAATGTGTCCTGACAGCCCCAATAAGGCACATGGCGAGGAATTTCTGCCCCACCCTGCTGCCCCACAGCACACTGCCCCTGAACCTGGTCTCCATCACTCCCATTCACTGAGCTCTTACCGTGTGAGAATGAACACACAGTTTCCAATCCTCCCGAACATAGAAGCCCCTGCTTCCAATGCACAGCAAAGAAAAATTATGCTGAGATTAACAAAAATCACACAACTCCATGATTTAAATCTCAATTTCCAGTGCTCTTTCCACTGTAATACAGAAGCTCAAGAATCTCGCCCAGTTTATGAAGCTGTATTTCTTTACTTAAAGAAAAACAACTCTTTATTAGAGGAACCTTTAATTAATGCAGAGACTTCTGCAGCCCAGGGCTTCCCACTTCATGAACTGCTTGCCTACTTCAGGCCGATAATTCCCTTTGGAGGAGGGACTGGGTAATTAACTCAGAAGGGAGAGAAATGTTCAGGCAAAGACCTTGCAAGAGCAGCACAGTGGCCTGGAATTCCAAATGGCAGCGCCTCAGAAGGTAAGCTGCAGCTCCACCGCAGCCTTTCCAGGACGATGCATGGGTCCCAGTGGCCTATAGCACAAACCCAGGTGTACTTTACAGAGAGAATGGAATTTGACCGCAATGTGTAGAATACCCAGACCCCTAACTATCCCCTTATCTTAAACATTCCATTATGTTTGTACTAATAACAAAACCAAGACTCTATCGTTTGTCAAAAACAGCAGAAAACAAGACTCTTTTCTTAGAACTTTCAAGTTCCTGTAACATATTCATTTTGGACCATCATTCAGCTTCCTGTGACACAAAATCCCCCCATCTCTAGGTAAAAAGTTGTTCTCATTACTGCTGACAGCAAACTAAAACGTGAAAGGGAATTCTACAGCACGCGACTTGTCGGAGAAAAGGCGTTTAGAGGACATTTTAGTTTGAAGATTGTAAAAAGTATAGCTGATTCTCTTATTCGGGACAGTTTCATGGTCTACAGAGTCACCACAGGCACTAAATTAATGGACACTGAACCGTTTGCTCCTAAAGGAAATGAGGGTTTAGGTTCCCGTGAGCCTCTGGTTATTCTGTCAATCAATCAATACATAATCCTGCTTTACGTGTTAAGTGTGTTAAAGAAACCTTTATAGTACTGTCGATTCATTAACACTTAACTTGTGGCCAACAGCACTGCATGTAACTCATGCCTAAAAGAAGCTTACTTAATACACTTATTTTATTCATAGGGCACACCACATGTCCTTGCACTTAGGAATGCTGGCTAGCACTACATTCGGGGGCCATTTTAAACAGTGAAATCACCAATGGAAAGCACAAAAATGCAAAAAAAGTGGCACTAAATACCGTAGAGCATGAAAAAGACATCTGATAATAGTATGACGGCAAACGAAAAGCAGAGTGTCGCCTTGTTCCACCTGGGTGCATGCAGGGAGACTTGCTCTTCGCCGCGTGTGCCTGGAAATAACTGAAGGGCTGCAAGTATTGATTTGGGGGTTACAAATAAATTTTAGCAAGTAGGCAAATACACAAAATTCACAAACACAGTATCTGTGAATGAGAATCAACTGTAACTCACTTTGTGATTAACCAAGATGCCAAACAAGCTCTCCATCTAGTGGTGACTTTTAAAATCACAAAACTATCAAGCTAAATTGGCAGGACTTTCACAAAATGAAGACTTATATTCAATAGCGGTTGTGGTACAGTGGCAACAGAATAGAGTTGAGTCACAGCTCTGAACTTACGTCGGTAAGCACATTCGAACTCTATAGGTACACAACAATACTGATTTCCGTGTAAAAGTTCCATAGAGTAACAAGAGAGATTATGATTCCCCCTTTTAAATTCTCCTATTTACAGCCTTTACTGATAACTATTATGATAGCTACCTTAGGGGACATATTAAATGGTGACCTAGCCATTGCTTCTCAAGGTTGTTTTACAAAAAGGGATCAGCTATTAATTTGTGGCTGGAGATACAGCAGTATTAAGAAAACCGACATCATGCTACTTCAATTTTAAAATGCTGGTAGTATTTGAGACATTAAAAAGAGAAACCAATTCTTTATCTGACATCATGCTACTTCAATTTTAAAATGCTGGTATTTGAGACATTAAAAAGAGAAACCAATTCTTTATCAGCCAATGTTTTAGAGGAGAATTAAACTATAACCAGTATAGTCAACCTAGAAACATTAATAAATATATATATACCTATACCTCTCTTTTTCTCTCTCTATATGTTTTAAGCCCAGCCAGTGTGGTTCAGTGGTTGAGCATTGACCTATGAGCCAGGAGGTTGAGGTTCGATTCCCAGTCAAGGCACATGCCCCGGTTGTGGGCTCGATCCCCAGTGTGGGGCCTGCAGGAGGCAGCTGATCAGTGATTTTCTCATTACTGATGTTTCTGTCTCTCTTTCCCTCTCTCTTCCTCTATGAAATCAATAAAAATATATTTAAATGTTTGTTTTTACTGATTTTAGAGAGGGAGAGAAACATCAAAGTGAGAGAGAAATATTGATCAGCTGCCTCCTGCACACCCTTCACGGGGACAGAACCCCAGCATGTGCCCAGATAGGAAATCAAACCAGACCTTTTGGCATATGGGAGGACACTCAACTGAGCCACACTGGCCAGGGCAACCTAAGGAACATGTTTAGTTGTATTCTGTTGTAACTCTAAAGGTTCCACTCCAGTAAGCTGATGGAAGGGATTACTGAATTTGGACGAGATGATTCAAAGCATTGCTAATTAAAGGGTGATCTAGAATACAACACATCTCCAACTCATCGGACATAAAGAAATTAATAACAATATACTGAGTACAACTTAATTAAGTCACCCCTCATAAATAAAACTTTATATATGCAAAATATATAAATAGACCTCAATATCTAAGTGGCTATTAAATTTAACCAAGGTGAGTATGCTGACCAGAAATAATGTTTCCCTGTTAAGTCTGGGCAAGTTCCAAAGCCAGAGAACCAGTCTTCAATAAAAAGGAAATGTCCAGCTTCTGATTTAATCCTTCCTTCCAATATTCTGTGAACAGACCTGCTATATCTCAATTACCCTTTAAGCAAGGTTTTCAGATTCATTCTTTGACAAGCTGACTTTGAAACCACTGAAAACAAACACATGACTCTTTCCAAACACTAATTCCGTAATTCACTTGTGATTTTCATTCTTGCCAATCAGATTTGGAGATTCCAAAGGGAGAAGGGGAGGGAGAAGAGAAGGATGAAGGGAAGAAAAACAGATTCATTTAAGAATTTAAATTATTTAATCTTTTTTATTACTTGACCTACCATTAAGACAATCTACAACAAAAAGAATAGAGTATATTAGCACACACAGTATAATCAGACTAGTAACCAGGAAACAATACAAAATGGTCCTTTGGCCATCTATACTTTCTAGAGCAATAGATCTGAGAAATTCACTTACCAAGTCCAGAAATGATGACTTCTTAAGTCTTGATTATCAACTAAGACAAACTATGCCATTGTGATATCTCACATATACTCAGATTGCACAAAGATAAAGCTTTAAATGTGTTAATTTTTAAATTTAGACTTAAAATTTCTTAGATTAAAAACTACAAAAGGGAGTAAACAGCAAGCCAAATTATTTAAGAGCAAAATTCATTTAGGAAGCATTATATGTGAACATGATTATTATATACAGATATGAAACTGCAATTTATGGCATTCTAAATAATTCACTGAAGTACAGTTTTGGCATTTAAACAAAGATCAAATCAAGCTTTACGCTAATAAGAATGTAATTTTTATTTTTAATTTTTTAAATATAAAAGGTAGCTAAACACA